TATCTTGAAAGAAAATGAGCCACATATTGTCTTGGATCTCCTGTTCTATCAAACATTTTGAAATCTGGTTGGGAAAAACCAAAAGGGAATGGATCAACATCTACCCATGCTGGGTAAGGTTTTGTAATTATTCAAAAGTTCTCATCATCTTTTTTCTTGACTTTCTTTACTTGTCTCCTCACCATATCATCAATTATGGCCATGAGCATTGGATTCATACCACCACTGGTTAGATCAGAGTAACAAGGACCATTGCCTCCTGGGGCTAGTGTGCTTTGTATGGCTATGGATGTCCCCACAACAGGTTGTGCCATTTGTTTGGATGCACTTCCTGTTCCTGTCATTTGGGCCTGCAACTGTTGCATTTGCTTCAACATAGCAGCCATTTCCCCTTTTTTTCTCTCAAGTTGTTCTTGTAGGGCCACCACTTTTTCCTTGAGACCTTGGTCTTGTTGGACCTGCGAATTTTCACCTTCTTTCTCAACCTCAGTCATCATAATTATGACTTTGTTGACAGCTCTTAATTCATTGTTTCCAATATTCGTTGAAACAGACGAGATAGAATCGTCTTGTTTGTACAAAGCATTATCAACCCCCACAACATTACTCATATTTGAAGCATTTGATTGTGATGCTTTGTTTTAAGCCTCATGGGTTATAGACCTTGTTACAGGCCATTTTCTTATTCCCTCCATAGATAGTTCGATCAAGGCAGAAATATTTCCCAAGGGTTGCTTACCCTTCTCCACCTTTGACTTTCCAACAAAGACAGGACTTTCAATTTGTTTTTGGCGTTCATCTTTCGAGAGAGCCTTTTCAATAGCTCCTATAACATTTGTCGCCACTGTTCTTAGTTCCAGTTTCTTTAAGGCTTTATTTCTTCTTCGCCTTTGTCTTTTTGAAACTGGACCATCAAGTCGAGCCCCTATGGGCATAGAAGGAACCGTTTGCGTTTTTGCAAACAAAATAGTCCCTACAGTTTTAGAGCGGACCAATTAATGTTGATTCAAATCCCGTTGGGCCAACAGGTGTTCCTTATTCGAACCTTGTCGGGGCCAATGGGTGTTCCTTATTTGAACCCTGTCGAGCCAACAAGTGTTCCTTTGGCTCCTGAGAGTTGACTAAGATTTGGTTTGATCGATTTTGTGCTCTGAACAGAACTGTCGGTTTGTAGGCCGCAACTGTTTTTTCAACAACAGGGGCCTTTTTTCCATCAACAGGAGTTTGGGTCATCACCCTCCTCCCAATGGCCCTAATGATGGCCATGTTTTCAGCAGAGGCCCTCTTCTGGGAAAACTCCGCCATTTTAATGAAGTCTTCTACCCTTGTGAGTAGTTGGGCCACAACATTTCTTGTTGTGCCCGCTGAAGCTACAACAAAGGCCGTAGTTGCAACCTGATTAGCCTCTTTTGACTGAATTAGAAAGCTCTTCATTCAGGCTATAGCCCTCACAGTTGCGTACCGCTTCGACGCTTTCACATAATCTTCAGTAATCCTTCTCAAACTTTCAGCTTTCTGGAGAAGTGTGACTTTCTTCGTCACACCAGTTACCTTCGGGACAACCAAGAGCTTTCGCTCCGAAGCCCCTTGGGCGATAGGGGAAAAAAGTGCATCTTTTCAGGATTTCGCTAGTTCTACCTTTGGGACAGCCAAGAGCATTCGCTCTAGAGCCCCTTGAGTGATGGGTGCTATCTCTACCCTTGGTGATTTCAGAACCACTGGAGTGTAGGTTTGTCTCTTGACAGTTGCTTCAGCATTTCCGTAACAGAAGAATACGTCAGTAAGTTTCAACTATATATATATATATATATTTTTGTTCTTAAAAAGATGGGAGGAGAAATAAGTCCCACTAGGCATGCCAGAATTTGTAGACACAAATTTTAAAATATGAAGTGTTTCAACACATTTCAAAATTTTATGTTACAAATGTCCACTGTTTAGTTTTTGGATTAAACAATGTTGATTATTTGAATAGCAGGTTCTGTATTTCAGATCGTTAATTGCACATTTTATATAAATGAAACCTTCGATTAATGAAGAACAAAATAAACAACAAAAGACAATTTAAGAAAAATAAATATTTTATTGCAATTGTTATGGGTTTTGAACCCTCGAATACAAAGTACCATTCTTGAGTTTGGAACCCTTTACCTATTCATCGCCATTCTGCGTTTGTGGCGTAGGCTCTTAAGTTCTCTGAGCTTCTCTTCGTCTTTCTTGTAATGACTTCTTTGGCTCTTAATTTCTTTCTCTCTCTTTCTGATCTTCTCACTTCTGATTTTCTGATCCTTGATTTTGTGTGATGGTCCTCGTATTTATAGAGGGCCATCTAAGTGATAAGAATGCCTCATCCTCAATTTGAATTTCAAATTGAACGATTGTGCCATTTGAATTTTGAATAATAGCGCTATATGATTAATTGTATATATGATTAACCGGATTGATCTTTGGGGTTTCAGCTTGTGTGGTGTCCTTGCTGTAGGCTCTACAGGTGTCATCTTTCGTAAGCTCCACGTGTCATTTGAGCATCTTGAATATCGTCATTAAGATACGAAGTTGTTTTATTTATACACTTCAACGGAGCAAGTTGATCATTTTGAGGAAGTAATTGCCTACAACATTCCTATCATAAGCTCTATATGTGCCATAAATTTAGTTGAAATTTATGTGCTAACACACATATATGTATATAGACATTTCCATAAAGCTGCATTGCTTCGCATTGGTTAAACTTCATCTAGTAAGGACTGACCAGAAAATATATAATTAAAAAAAAAAAGAAGTTACATAGGGGGTGAGTAGGCATGTAGAAGTTAGTACTCATTTTTTGTGGCAGCAGGCTTTCTTGTTTGTGTGCATATGGAAGATTATTTATTTATTCACCAAAAAAAAAAAAAGATTATTTATTTATTTATCTTTCCATGAGATATAATTTGGCATCCATTATCTTCTTCACTTTTGCACCACATTTTGTTTCTGTTTCTTTAGGATTTCCAAAGGTAAGTAAATACTACCATGACTTAAGTAGTACTGTCTTGAGGATTTATGTAACATATATGGATTGGGGATGTATTGATGGTACACATCTCTGTTCTGTATTGTCTCTTGAAAATCTCTTGCATCTAATGTAGTTTCAAGTTCGTGTATCTCTCTGCAAATAATCATCAGTAATAAGCATTAAATGTATATGACTCCATGGGCATGTTGTAGCAGTTGAAAAATGTAAGAAAATGATAATTCATGATGAGTTTTTGTAACACACATAGTTAATATTGGTGTATGTTGGTAGAATGATGAAGTAATTTCTTGATTACTGTCCAACACCATCGGACCCTCTCTATATTAACTGAGTGGATTGTATGCTTAGTAGCCTTGTGTTTTTATCATTTATACTTGAATTTTGACTTTGGAAGTTTTCAGGTAATTCCTACAGATTTGTTTCATATTTTTATAATAGTTTCTCCCTTTTTTCAGAAATTTGGGAAGACAGATGGCTTGTCAACTGATTTTGTCATCATATATATATATAGACATATCCATAAAGCTCCATTCCTTGGAATTTGTTAAACTTTATCTCACGGGGACTGATAAGAAAATATATAAAAAAAAAATTCATGGGGGTGGGGGAGTAAACATGTAGACTGGGGTTCCTGCCACGTCTGCTTGAGTGTGAGCAGACTGAGCTGATTTGAAGTTTGCTATCGGTGGATGACGACTTCCTTATCTTTCTCTCTCAAGTTTTGATCAGAGGTTTGAACTTTATGTTGTTAAGTTGACAATGCAGATTTGGATTTGCAAGTGAAGTTTTAAAATGTCTGCAACAACAAATATTTTCCTTACATGTTTTTTAATAGTTAAAGAATTCATTTAAAGGTGTCAAAAATGGGGCACCACCTCTGTGCGCTGGGGGTATGCAAAAAGCCAGCTATACAGGATAGACTTCCAATGAAATCAACAAAAGTAAAAGAAGTATCACAAAAGGTCATTTTGAGTCTATGTATTGCCAACTCAAGGTCCTTAAAGTACACTGGCTTTGCTCCCCTCCAAATGCACCAAATTAATCTTATAGGTGCCCCATTCCAAGCCTTTTTAACCCTATTAAAGCAGCAACCTTCTGCCCAACTCTTATAGAAATGGACAACCGAGTTTGGCATAACCCAACAAACTACAAAATAGAAAATAACGGACTCCACAACTATTCCCATATATGATGGTCTGCAAATTTGACTTGGTTCTGCTTGATTGTGAGCCGACTTGACAATTCTCGAAGTTTGGATGACAATTTTTTTTTTTGGGGGGTTGTTGATAAATAGTAGTTTGGATGACAATTAATTCCTTATCCTTTACTCTCAGTTTCAATCATAGTTTTGAACCTTCTGTTATAGAGTTTACAATGTTGATTTAGATTTGCAAGGTAAGTTTTAAAGTATCTGCAACAACTATATTATTAACTAGGCAGTTGATATTTTAATGGCATCAGCAAAATGAAAAATGGCAGTAAATTTGCATTTGGTTGTGATCCTTTACTCTCAGTTTCAATCATAGTTTTGAACCTTCTGTTATAGAGTTTACAATGTTGATTTAGATTTGCAAGGTAAGTTTTAAAGTATCTGCAACAACTATATTATTAACTAGGCAGTTGATATTTTAATGGCATCAGCAAAATGAAAAATGGCAGTAATTTGCATTTGGTTGTGAATAAGAAGTTAAATAACATGTGACATAATCATTGGAATCTTGTTTGGTCTTGCAGGTTATGTTTTGGATTAGAGCACTCCCTGTATCATCTGCAATAAAGATCTTCTCACTGCCTCCATTTACTTCTTGTTGAGTCTTGTAGCATGCTAGCTGGATCAGTTCATTCTCAAAACTTTCAAGCAGGAATTAAAATATGCACAAGTTCTGCTTAAAGTCTGAGGCATGACTGTTCGGTTAGCTCTAATCAGCTACTTGCCATAATTTCAGTGGCTTTAGTAAAATTGTAAACTGATGGACTAAAATTGTGTAAACAGGAGATCTTAAAATACATTATTTCAGAAAGGTTTAAAGCACTTGCTACAAATGATGTATAATTAGTTTCCAGAACTTCAACAGAAAGAAGAGGTTCTTAAGACACATACAAATCTCCTGCTTTTATATATTTTTATTATCTGTATATGCCTTGAGAGGATATTCAGCAGCATAATCTGTTTCTTCTTGCTTGTAGTTATTGTTAGTGATTAGATCGTGGTGCAAGGGTTCTTTGTGGTTGGCAAATTACCATCATAAGTGCATTTTAAGACATCTGGATTCCTCACAAGCCGTGGCCCAACAGGCACTTTGTTGGTTTTTGGACGAACATCCTGCACGATGACAACGCTTATAGATGAAAAAATAAATAAAATCCTGAATGCCAATGACTTGGCATTTCAAAAGGAATATAGATATACATATGTGCGTATGTATGTATATAATTAAAGAAGCTTTGCTACCTGTCACTGATACTTGACAATGTGCCTTTCAATTTGGACAGGCTTTGATGTATTCCTAATGTGTCTCTGTATTCTCAAGATGATGTTAAATTGTTGTGGTTTTTACTTTAGATTATTTTTTGTTCCCAATTTTTTATCTGATATGGCAATTTAATTGTGAGTGGTTCAATATTTTGACTTTTAAATGCGTTTCTGCAACTTAGACTTGTGGCTGGTTTCACTAAGATTGCTCATAGTCATTGCTGTTTGTATGCAGCATAGTGGTTGAATTTAAAACCAGAAATAATCTTCTATCTTGCGCTGCTTTCTTGTTTAAGTTTTGAGTCTATTGTCAGTAAGAAATTTAAGTTCTGTCGAAGATTGTGAAGTTCCTGCAGGCACTTGCTCTTTAATTCAAAGAACCAGTTGCATTTTTTGCACTAGTAATGATATTTTATGGAATTATTTATAACCAAACCAAACCAAGTCTTAAGTCCCATCAAATGGGGTCGGTTGCATGAATTCTTCTTCTCCACTTGACTCTATCCAAGGCCACTTTGCTAGTCAAATTAGGGAGATTCAAATCTCTATTTACTACACTAGTTCGCGTCAATCTAGGTCTACCCCTTCCACTAACACTACCATCTACCATCACTGTATCACATCTCTTCACTATTGCCTCTGTTGGTCTCCGTTGTATATGACCAAACCATCTCAACCTACTTTCTCTCAACTTATCTTCTATTGGTATTACTCTTACTCATTCTCGAATATACTCATTCCTAACTCTGTCTTTTCTAATCTTGCTACACATCCATCTTAGTATCTTCATCTCAGCAACACTCATCTTATCTACATGTTGTTTGTTAGTTGCCCAACATTCCGTCCCATACAATATCGCTGGTCTAATAGCTGTTCTATAGGACTTTCCTTTTAGTCTACTTATTTACCGCACAGTACTCTAAACGCACTCCTCCACTTAAGCCATCCCGCCTTAATTCTGTGGATCACATCCGCTCCAATCTCCCCTGTCGTGATAATCAATCCTAGATAACGAAAATGTTAACTCTTAGGTAGTTCTTGTATCTCAATCTTCACTTCTCCTCTGCTTTCATTGTGGCTGTTACTAAAATTACACTCCATATACTCTGTCTTAGTTTTGCTTATCCTAAATCCTTTAGATTCAAATGCTTTTATCCAAATCTCTAACTTAGTGTTAACTCCTTCTCTAGTCTCATTCACTAACACGATATCATTTGCAAAAAAATACACCATCTTGAATTATTTGTCATTATGAAATCTGAGGCAGTTAGGGGCACTGCAAAAAAACCTGAAAAGTTGCTGTCACATTGGCATTTGATGTGTGAAGTTTTTGTGATCTGACTAGGTGGTGGAACAGTTTGTATGTAAGAGTGAAGTGATGAAATGATAGTTTTGATTTTTGCTAGTAGGTTATATTGTATAATTGTATTCAATTATCAAGTAGAAAGATAGGTAGAATTGATTACCTGATCGAAGATGGCTGTTGGGATTGCAAGGGTGGCACAAGCATTTGGGGAGTCGACTATTCCTGAAATCCTTCCTTCGCATGGGCAGCATGACAGTAGAAGATACATCTGATAGCCACCATCATACCACCTTGGTCAGTAACATACCAAAATCCTAAATTATCATACTCATCTTTTTTCGTGTTTTCTACACTAATGTATGCTCAGATGAATTATAAATGTTGCTTTATGAGAGATATGTTAGACCTGTTCTTTAGAGTACCCAAATTTGGACAGGTAGTCGATTGCATTGAGCACTGCACGTTTGTAAGCAACACTTGCATCGAGGTAATGCTGCCTCCCACTCTCATCAACACTGATGCCCTCAAATACTAACCATTCTGAGAATCTTGGCTCAACTGGACCTATCTCGAATATTGGATTTACGTGTAGGGGAGTTGGACCCATTGGTGTGAGGTACTCTTTCATTCCACCTCTAATGATTTCACACCTGGCAACAAGTAGAAATGTACCTTTTCTTAGTTTGATAGATTTTATCACCTGTGTTGCAGACCTGCAGCCATCTGCATTCATGTTTCATGACTTCTGATTTTAAGTTTATCACCCTATTGTGCTGTAAACTCTTTCTTGGTATTATTTATGTCCATTTTTTTTTTAACCACATGAGACAGATCCAAAATATTATGGAATGCTAAGAGCTGAGAGATATGAAGTGTACTTGAGTTCAGTAGAAATGTACTTTTTCTTAGTTTGATAGATTTTATCGCCTGTGTTGCAGACCTGCAGCCATCTGCATTCATGTTTCATGACTTCTGATTTTAAGTTTATCACCCTATTGTGCTGTAAACTCTTTCTTGGTATTATTTATGTCTATTTTTTTTTTAATCACATGAGACAGATCCAAAATATTATGGAATGCTAAGAGCTGAAAGATATGAAGTGTACTTGAGTTCTAGAAAACCACTCATCTCAATTGCGCCACAGAATGCGACTTCACCATCACCTTGAGAAAAGTGCATGTCCCCGGTACTTAAATTTGCTCCATCTACAAATACTGGAAGGTATATTTTTGCTCCTCTACTGAGATTTTTGATGTCACAATTTCCTCCATTCTCTCTTCCAGGAATTGTCCTTGCAGCCTCGTTAGCAATTTTTTCCCAGTCAGTTGTCCCCTCTTGAATCTACACCCAAAATGTAGAGGAAAATAGCCATCTTGAAAGTATCTAGGGGCTTCCAAAATGACACATTCATCAGTACTCCTTAAATAAATCATACCTTGCCAAGGAGGCAACCTTTGGGTGTTGGTAGGCCTGCCAATGGCCGCGAATGCAGAACCTCGCATAATTTCAGAGTTTGAAGTCCAGTTTCTTCAAGTTTTCTTTCCCTTTCATTCCATATGTTGAGGAGTTCCATTGAAGGTGCTGTTCCAATTACTCCAGGGTGAGTTAAGCCCGGAAATCGTACTCCTGTCAAGCAACATTAGTGCTCAAGTAGCATCAGAAAGAAACAGACAAATTTATGTTGTGTTTGGAGAAAAAGTAATTTTATTTCAGGGGACACCAGGGAAGTACATGTACACGCCTAAGCACTGACATGGACACGTCAACAAGGAAAATTTTAAAAAATGTAGGACATGATTATATGATTATTATATTTCTTATATATGAATATTTAAGTCAAGATAATTTTTGAATTCTAGAGGATAATATGTACTAACTTATTGTTTTTGTTTTATTATTGGATTCCAAGTTATGTTATTTGAACTTATATTGTGTTTCATGTATACCTATTGAAAAGTGATCGAAGAGTGTCATGCTGTGTCGTGTTCTGTCAGTGCTTCTTAACGATACAGCTTGACCCAATGGATGGGGCCTTGTACAGTAATCTCGACATCTCCCCCTAACCCATCTAAACTGACGATGCCCTTTCGATGGAAAAAAAATAAAATAAAATAAATTCAGAACACAAAATTTACCTGGTATGTGAGGAGAATAAGCATATATTCCTTCAAAATACCAGATGGCTTTGGTTGCACAGGGAAAATGGTCGGTGAGAAAACCGCCACCATTTTCTCTGTCAAATGTTGCTGTGAAACCCCATTCATCCCCAGGGAGAGGACCTAAGTTGCAGATTTCGACTACAAGAAGATCCCCTGGCTTTGCAGGAGCCCCGTCGGCATCAAGAACTCGAATTGGCCCACTGAGGTAATGTACCTGTGCAAGTTATATGTATATTTGATCGTTGTTATTGATTTGAAAAAAACCAGATTCTATATATATCTTCTTATCAGATCAATTTATCGGGTATATATATAGTGAATTGTTGACTTTCTTATTCCTACTTGTTACTTCATGGTTTCATAACGAGTTAGTTGTATTGCTATGAAGTAGAGTGATATATCTGATCTCTGGATATAAAGTAGATAAGGTTCTCTTGTTCATACTTACCCGTGAGAGGTCTATGAATTTTATATCATTTGCAGAATCGTCATCGTTTATCATCCCTCCTGTCCAGTCCACCATCTCTACCCGGAAGACCTCACCGGTCTTGACCTCAGCAACCGATGGTATGTCAGGGTGCCAACGGTTGTGGAGAGGGTGATTCTGCTCCCATGGCTTCTTCTTTAGGTCTATTGGTACTACTAGTCTTGGAGTTGGAGGAGCCATGGGGTGAACCAGTAGAGTGATTGGCAAAGAGGTGTGGTCTTTGTTTGTTATGGACTTGGTGTGATAACCGACTGGCATCCATAGAGGGAGGTTTGACTTGGCACAATTACTAGTTGACACATTGAGTGATTATTTTTTCCAATGGTCCCCAACTACCTTCCGGTAATGGACAAATATGCTAGGTTGATGATGATAAGGTTGATTATGTTTGCACAGACTGGTTATATTTATCTTTAAAAAAATTGATTGATTTATTTTAAAAATCATATTTATCATATATTGTTTGTACACAAATACAAATATGATTATGATTAACAAATTAATTTTTTTTTTCTATGAATAATTTGCATAGAGGACTTTCAAATGAATCATAAATAGCTAAGGATTAATTTAATCTATAATTACTTACTAGATAATTCATCCCTACTTTTTTGTTGAGCCAGTCCGACTACTCAACCACCACTACCCTCCGACCGAAAAAAACTAACACTACTCAACCTTACCTCTACTCATCAGTACATAGTCAGTACATAGTTATACAATAATAATCATTTTAAATTATTTGAAAAGAGATAATATATAACAACAAAACAATTTATCAATCAAACACTTTGTATCGTAATACATGTGCTATGTTTGAATTTTAGATTATGAACTAGTTCTCCTTTATTTCTTCATCCTTCATGGCTGTGTTCAAGGTTTGTGATTGTAAATCAAAACACAAAACATGCAGCGGAATAAAGTGTTTAGATCATACCTCGTTTGATCTAAAACCTCGTGGATAAATCACGTGCTTCCATACTCAATCAATCAATCCCAGCAGTGGGGTGATATTACATTGGTGAATATCACCCACACAAACCACAGTGCAAATGACTTTGATCGTTATTTTTGGGAGAGAGTCAGTATCATTGGTAGAAACAAAACATACGTTGTTTTCTATATTGGTTACCCATAACCATATATCAGATATATATTATATTTATCTCATTTATCCATTGGTTAAATGAGATAATATCTGATATCTATATCATCTATCCATATCATGATATGATAGATATATATCCTGAGTGGCTATCCAAATAGGTTTGAATTCAAATTCAAAACCCATTTGGATGAGGTTCAAAAGGTTCTAAGGGTCATGCCACATGGGCGCCCAATTTCTAACAGTGATTAATATGATTGTTTAATCTTGAGAAACTAATCTTACTGGCTGTTCTTATAGATGTATTACTGGTAAGAGGAAATAAATGAAAGGACTTACAATAGAGAGATCAGCATGCTTGATGTCTTCGGCAGAGTATTCCTTTGTAATCCTACCGCCGCTGCAGTCCATCATCTCCACCCTGAAGACCTCTCCGACTGTAACCTCAGCAACCGGAGGTATATCGGGGTGCCACCTGTTGTGAAGAGGTAGCTTCTGTTCCCATGGCTTCTTCTTTAGGTCTATGGGAAACACCATTCGCGGACCATGTTGGCCCATAATTTTCAAAGCTGTAAAAATTAAAATTGTTGATCTGGTTGAGGCCAAAGCAATGGCAGACCACTTTTATAGAGAGCAAAAGAATTCTTGGAGTGGCTGAAGTAGCCACGCAGCTTTCGTTTTCAGGTTACAAGTTTGATAGCCATGAATGGCTAATTTGGCTCACCCACAAATTAAGATTTTTTTTGGTTTTGGTGGATGGACCACCATAGCTGATTGAACTCTTACTGGGCTAGCTTGTCCAAGGTTAAGTGAATGAGTGGTCCCTTGCCCTTCAACGGAGCCCAGCTGAACCTATTTCTATAATATGAATCGTTCATGTTTTATAGTTGCCTTTGATCATATTTGTTTTATATTTTTTATACATAATGTGATAGGAGTCATTTCATAAAGTGACAACGAGATGGGCTTCACTTACGAGCACAAGAGGGATCCCTCGTCCTAATAGTGTGAGTAGAATAATGAGTGTGATTAAGCGCTCAAGCAGCCTGACCCAATCGAATTCAGAAGTAAAGCTCACCATCATTTCATTAAAGAATAATGTAGGAATGCTTATTATGTAAGTTATTGTTGGAACAATCTTCTGTGTAAATAAATAAATTAAAATAAAATAAAATATATAACTTACATAATTTATTTTATCGAACCGAAAAAATAAAAGATCAAGTCGAGTGTGTGACACTCTGTCTTTAAGACAGATTCGCCCCACTTCGATGCTTACGGACTAATGGCATCTATCTCCAAGGATACAATGATCTTTACAAATTTGTAGCAGCACTCCAAACAAATTTGTCCAGCGAACTAGAACCCTGTGTTCTATACTCTCTTAATTTTTCCTAAAAACTAATATGAAGAATTTATGCAAACAGAGCAAAGTTGGATAGCAAGAAAATCAATTTTTTGTCTATTTTCTGGATCCAAAAGACTGCAGAAATAGTCTCTATTTATAGGCAAAAGAGCAGACCCGAATAGGTACAACTTTGAACTGAACAGGTGCAAATTTTGAATGAACAGATGCAGTCCAAATTCAACAGATCTGCTGGACAGATTGAACTATCTGAACTGTGCAGTTTGAATTTGTGTAACTGCAGCAGTTTATGGTAGTTTAAAACCTGTCAAAACAGCTTAAATCTGTTTGAAAATAAATTTGTTGAAGAAGTAAATGAACAGGTGCAATTACTATTCAAACAGATCTGCAACTGCTAACTGTTAACTATCCAGATTTGAACCTGTAACTGCCTGGGCAGTTTTGAAATGAATCTGTCCAAAATATAACAGATTGAAAACTAGACTAAAGAAGTAACAAATGGACAGAAAAATTAAATTCATAAATGAATTAATTTTGATAAGAATTTTGAAAAAAATTCAAATAAGTTTTCTCCAAAAAATTAATATAAGAACCGATCCGACCCACACCCGCGCCCGACTCGGCTGGACGGACGGCGGCGCGCGCACGCGTGTATGGTGGTTTGGGTTAAGGTTCACTTTGTCCATAACTCATCCTTTCTACAAACTTAGGGTGCCCCTTAGGGCCCAACTCAAGTGTTGTAGTTTAGAGCTTATATACATATACAAGCTCTCTTAAAATTTCAATATGGGACAACCCATTTCAAGGAAATCCGCATTTAAATCTTTAAATGTCCAATTTTACGAACCCGAAAACGAAGTCAACTTTTCATTCACTCATAAATGGTTTTGACGAACCGTCTTCACCGTGTGACTTACCATGTGGCAAAGAACACATCACCTCTTCGGACCCACTCCAAAAGACGTTTGGGGCTCACTCAATTTTGGGCTCAAAGTTGGCCCAAAATAAGCCTAATAAAACCAATTTTCCAACAATCCTCCACATGAAAGGAATTTGACGGAGAGAAAATGCAACAACATGATCTAATTACAAAGAGTACAGAAATTGGAAATATTCTGCAAAGGATAAATAACTTTTGGCTTTGAACCTTCCCTTGTGAGATACTATCGGATTTACTAACTAATCAGTAAACATAATGTCTTAAACTATTTAGCCGTTTGTGTAAACCAAAACAATAGAACTCACATAGTATATCCCCAGACACAATTTAGTTCTCACTATTGTGTTCATTTTAGCCCTAAACAACCTGGTCTTTCATGAGTGCCCTAGAGAATTGTAGCCCTTCACTAATCTCATAGAATCGGCCCAGTTCACACTCATATAGGTGATTCTTATAAAGAGTATCCTGCCATACTCCACTAGGTTTACCTAGATATAAGAACCATTAAAATTTTACTTAACCTAAAATGCTGCAGACATCACTATTTCATCATAGAAATGGGTAGGAGTTAGACTCCTCAGTGATCCTTTTGAGTCATACACAACTCGGTTGTCCTTTTGAACCTAGATCTTGGGATCTCCAGTCAACTAAGTTGGGTTTCCGTTGTGGTAACTCTTATTTAATAGGCTTTAGTCCCATTCCCCTCGATGAATTTTCAACTAACTCTATTGCTAACCCTTTGGTTAGTGGATCTGCTATATTGTCTTTAGACTTCACATATTCAATGAAAATAATTCCATTACAGAGTAGTTGTCTCACAGTGTTGTGTCGATGACGAATGTGTCGTGACTTACCGTTATACATATGACTCTGTGCTCTATCTATTGCTGATTGACTATCGCAATGTATGCATATAGCAAGCACCGGTTTTGGCCATATTGGAATATCTTCAAAGAAGTGGCGAAGCCATTCTGCTTCTTCCCCAGCTTTATCTAAAGCTATGAATTCTGATTCCATAGTAGACCTAGTTATGCAAGTTTGTTTGGAAGATTTCCAAGATACAGCTGTCCCACCAAGAGTAAAAACATACCTACTAGTGGACTTTGAGTCTCTTGTATCCGATATCCAGTTTGTATCACAGTAACCTTCAAGTACTGCTGGATATCTAGTATAATTCAACCCAATGTTACGAGTAAATCAGTGATATCTTAGAACCCTTATAATTGCTTTCCAGTGTTCTACTCACGGATTACTCGTATATCTACTTAATTTACTTACTGCATAAGCTATATCTGGGCTAGTGCAATTCATCAAGTACATTAAGCTTACAATAATTTGGGCATACTCTAATTGAGAAATACTTTTCTGTACATTCTTAGATAGAAACAAATTAACATCTACATGTGTTCTAGCAAGACGATCATCTTTTTTGCTGAATTTGTCAAGTATTTTCTCAATGTAATGAGATTGTGACAAAGCATAACCTTCTGATGTTTTGGTAATTTTCATACCAAGAATTACATCAGCAATGCCCATGTCCTTCATGTCAAAATATTTATTCAACATTTTCTTGGTAGTTTTAATCATATCATTATTACTACCTATGATGAGCATATCATCTACATAAAGACATACAATGACATAACCTTTGTCTGTGTTTTTAATATAAACACATTTGTCACACTCATTAATTTTAAATCCATTTGACATCATTGCCTTGTCAAATTTCTCATGCCATTGCTTTGACACTTGTTTTAAACCATATAATAATTTAACCAATTTACACACTTTCTTTTCTTTTCCCGGAACATAAAATCCTTCTGGTTGTTCCATGTAAATTTCTTCATCTAACTCACCATTTAAGAAAGTGATTTTCACATTCATTTGATGAATTTCTAGATTATACAAAGATGCAATAGCAATTAGCATTCTAATGGATGTTCTTCTAGTAATCGGTGAGTATATGTCAAAGTAATCAAGACATTCTTTTTGCCTAAATCCTTTGACTACAAGTCTTGCCTTGTATTTGTCAATTGATCCATCCGCTTTCATTTTTCTTTTGAAAATCCACTTGTATCCAAGATGTTTACAACCTGGTGGCAAATCCACCAATTCCCAAGTGTGATTTTGCAAGATGGATTCAACTTCACTATTGACAGCTTTTTTCCATAAAAGAGCCTCAGGACTGGACATAACCTCTTTAAAAGTTAAAGGCTCATTTTCTAACAAATATGTTAGAAAATCTAAACTAAAAGATTTTGAGGTTCTAGCACGTTTATTACGCCTAGGTTCCTCTTCCTCATTTTTATCTAACTTTTGTTCTTGATCAATTCTTGATCCTGACTAGTAATGGCATCATGAGATCTTTTATTGTTACTAGTCTTTTGTCCAGTCTTATTTGGAAATACATGTTCAAAGAAAGATGCATCCCTCGATTCAATAATAGTATTTACATGCATTTCAGAATGTTCTGATTTATGAATCAAAAACCGATATGCACTACTATTCTTGGCATAACCAATGAAAATGCAATCAATGGTTTTAGGACCCATCTTAGTCTTTTTAGGACTAGGAATAGCCACTTTAGCCAAACACCCCCACACTTTTAAGTATTTGTGGGATGGTACTCTCTCATGCCACAATTCCTAAGGTGTTTGATTCACTTTCTTTCGGGGTACTTTATTTAAAATATAATTAGCAGAAAGTATTGCTTCCCCCCACAAGTTCTGAGGTAATCCAGAACTTATTAACATGTCATTCATCATTTCTTTTAAAGTCCTATTTTTTCTTTCAGCAATTGCATTTTACTGAGGTGAGTAAGGAGCGTTGGTTTGATGAATTATTCTATGTTCTTTACAAAACTCACCAAAAGGTGATTTATATTTACCACCTCTATCACTTCTTAGTTTTTTTATTTTCTTACCAAGTTGATTTTCAACTTCATTCTTATATTGAATGAAAGTTTCCAAAGCTTCATCCTTGGTTCGAACTAAAAAAACATAACTATATCTAGTTTAGTCATCTATAAAAGTGATAAAATACTTTTTTCCACCTATTGTTTGAATTGATTTAAAATCACAAATGCCACTATGAATTAATTCAAGTGGTTCTGAACTTCTTTTAATTGAATGGAAAGAAGTTTTGGATAATTTTGTCTCAACACAAATTTCACATTTATGATTTGAATCAATGTCAAATTTAGGTAAACATTCCATATTAATTAATCTTCGCAAAGATCCATAATTAACATGTCCTAATCTACCATGCCATAAATTTGAAGCCGCAAGCAAGTAAGAAGAAGATATATTTTTATTAATAACTGAGGGTACAACGGTCATTACATTCATCTTAAAAAGGCCATCAGACATATAACCTTTTCCTACATACATCTCATTCTTAGTAAGTACAAATTTATCACTCTCAAACACTAGCCTAAACTCATTCTTACTCAACAAAGATT